GAGCTAAGCCTTACATGGCTCTTTTATTGTAGTATTGGATGAAATTAGATATTTTAGTTAGCACTTCTGAATTAATGTAAGATTGAGGTGTATAGTTTTCTTCTGTCATGTTGTCCTCACTTGATTTTGGTTTCAAGCTTTTCATGTTTTCCGATAAGCTCTGGAATGTGAAAATTACCTGTTTTTTACAAGTTATATAGAATTTGTTCGTAAAACTGTCTAGGCCAGGGCAGATTCTTTTTTTTATTTTCAACTTTATTGAAGCATAGCGTACACATAGATTCAATATGTATTTCAGTATGATACACAGCATAAATGTCCAGCTCACTAAATTACCACAAGGTGAGCACTCCCTGAAAGCCAGCACTCAGATGAAGAAAAACAGCATATTAACAGCACCCTTGAAGCCTTCCTTTTTCTTCCAGGCACTGTGCTTCTGTCCAGAGGTGACTACTATTCTGATTTCTAACAGCATAGATCAGTTTTCCCTATAAATGGCAGTCATATAAAATGGCATCATACATTATGTTCTTTTTTTGTTGAGGTTTTCTCCAAGTTGTTAGAAGTAGTTGTAGGTTATTCGTGGATGTATGATATTCCCTATGTAAATATACCATAAATTAAAATATTGATGGTCATTTTTGTAGTTTCCAGTATTTGCCTATTATGAATGGTTCTCTTAAGAATATTTTCTAGTTCATGTCTTTTGGTGGATATAAAAATCTTCTCTGAATGTGATTGACAGAACAGTAGCATTGGCATCACCTGGGAACTTGTTAGAACTGAAGAATCTCATACCACACCCAGGACTACTGCATCAGAATGTATGTTTTAATGAGATCACCAGGTAATTTGAATGCACATTACTGTTATACTCTGAGGTCTCTACTTGAAAGACTTGACACTGAATTCTAAGTGTTTAGTATTTTAGCTACTTTGGATAATGAAAGGGATTAGAAGTCAGGACAGCTGGCAGCCCTAAGCACCACTGAATAGTTTCAGAACTCTTTGCCACCAAGTCTTTTCTCATCTTCCTTTAATTTTCCTCATTCTGGTTTAGGCAAATCACTGTGAAGAAAGGTTGGAAGATTATAGAGTCCTAGAGCTCATACTGAAGTCTCATACATAATTGGGTTCTTTTGCTTGGTGGTTTTAGTATATGGATTTTTTTTAAGCTGTTGTTCAATATTTGAGCCTCTTTGGATTTGGTCCAAGTGTAACTATGTTGGGAGATATTCTTTGTGGTCAGTTGTTGGGGATTGTGTACACTAACACTAAATTCATTTTAAATGGACTTCATTTTTATTTCTTTTGGTTTATTTTCGTGGATTTCATAGCATTCAGGAAGAGCATCTATACTCCATCATTTATTGGTATTAGGGGCTTAAATTTTTTTTTTTTT